GCTCGCCAAGGGTGGCAATTATGGCAAATATTCCCCCATGAGCAACGACGAAAACAAACGGCCCCCAGTCCCCGGCCGCCCCGTTATTCCTGGCTACGGTAACAGCGGGGCAGGGGTGCTAAGAATCTCCAGTGGAGGTTCGGTTGCCACCTACGACGACTCGACCTGGCAACATATAACACACGCATACTGAGGACTGACAAGAACATACTGGAGCTGGAAGAAGAGGTAGAAAAGTTACGCTGGCATATTATTGGATTATCCGAAGTCCGAAGAAGGGGGAGGACACGGTAATCCTCGAGTCCGGCAACTTGTTCTATTACCGGGAGGGCGACCGTCTGTCCCAAGGAAGTGTCGGATTTATCGTCCTCAAGTCTCTTGTCAACAACGTTGTAAGGTGTGTCGACGAGGGTCGCGTACATGATACTCAGAACCACCAATTTTTCCGATTGAGCGGAACCAGGGCTCCAAAGTCTTTGCCGGAGATCTGTCTGCTAGTAAGAGTCAGCTTTCACAGTTGACTGAGTGAGATTAAGAGGTTCTATGGGCAGCTGTTCACATCATCGTTAGAGCCACACGCAAGTGTGAGTAATGATCCAAGAGCAAGTCTTATCCGACACTATTCCGATGATATCCCGGACGTCAGTATGAGCGAGATTAGAATGGCTCTCCAGCACCTTAAAAATGGCAAACCTCGGGCGAAGATGGAATTACAGTGGAGCTTCAGAACGCGGGTGGAACACCGGTATTTGAAGTCCTTCAGAAGCTCTTCAATTCCGTCCTCCATGGAGGCACTACTCCCGAGGCATGGAGCAGAAGTGTAGTGATCATGTTCTTCAAGAAAGGTGACAACGACGAGCCGCGTCAACGTGCTGTTTTCGAGAGTCATTACGAATAGTCTCGCACGCAGACACGAAGACTTCCAGCCTCTCGAACAAGCCGGTTTCCGAAAAGGCTTTAGTACCATAGACCACATACATACCCTTCGGAAAATTGTACAGAAGTCCGAAGAGTACAATCTTCCACTTCGCCTGGCGTATGTAGACTACGAGAAAGTCTTTGATTCCGTCGAAATTTGGGCGGTGGTACAGTCCCTTCAGCGGTGAAGCAAGTTGACTGTCGGTATATCAAAGTGCTGAAGTGTTTGTACAGTAGGGCTAAGTGTTTGTAAGATGCCTATCCGAGTACAGAACCAGAGTACGAAACGTTTCCAACCGCAGAGTGGTGTAAGACAGGGTGACATTATATCCCCAAAACTATTCAAGACTTTGGAAGACGTTTTCAACTGAAATACAAAGAAACAACTACTGAATTGAAAAGGATACGGTATTAACATCAATGGAGAGTACATCATTCACCTTCGATTTGCCGACGATATAGTCCTTATGACAGAATCACTGGTGGACCTAAGCACTATGCTCAATGACCTCAATAGTGTTTTCGAACGCCCAATCCGTTAAACGTCTTAAGATGAACATGGACAAAACAAAGATCATGTTTAATGTCCATGTCACAATTATGCCGGTAGTTGTTGGGAGCACTAAGCTCGAAGTTGTTGACGAGTACGTTTACCTGTTACAAAGAGTCTGACTAGGTAAGTCCACCTTCAACCTTAATCGTCAGATTTAACTCGGCTAGGGAGCGTTTGGGAGATTATGACACATCTTCTCGTTAGACATACCTCAAAACCTGAAAACTAGATTGTATAACCAGTGCATCTTGTTAATGATGACTTATGTATCAGAGACGTGGTTCTTCACTGCTGGCCGTATGAGGACACTCAAGGTCGCTCAGCGAGCTATGGAGAGGGGTATGCTCGGGGTTTCTCTGCGTGATAAACTTAAAAATCAGGATATCCGCAGTAGAACCAGAGTGACCAACATAGCCCAACGGGCTAGTTAGCTGAAGTGGCAATGAGCCGGCCATATAGCTCGAAGAACCGACAACCGATGGGGAAAAACCTGCACCTCACCTTGATTTATTATTATCACCTTTATTAAAATCTGGTAGTACATTGAACCCCGCTAATTTTAGACCTATTTCTGTACTACCAACCCTCAGTAAAAACTTTTGAAAAGATAATTTTAAAACAATTGTTAATTCTTTTTAATAAAAATAAATTACTTTATAAAAATCTATTTCGTTTCACAATGGGTCGCCCGACGACTGACGCACCTATGAAACATATTTTAAATGCCTGGGAGACTTCACTAGATGCCTTAGTTGTGTTCATCATGAGTCTATGGTCTGTGGTCTATGTAGATAATCTTAAAAATTAAAACTAATTATAACTTTTATCTCCCAAGTTCTAAAAATCTAAGAATTTAAAAGGGTCTATCCTACTATCCACCAATTAAAACCAAAAATATCTCTCTCCCATACAAGCCTGCCATTCCCCTTTATTAAAACTCTATTAAAATGATTGATGTCAAACGTCAATTAGTGTAGGGTTCCGAATATTTTGTAAGTATCGATACGTACTCGATACCAAGTATCGTATCAAAAGTATCAATACTACTTGGTATAGAGTACATTTCGTTAATTTTGGAGACTAAGGGGGTAGAAGCCGGGAAGTTATGCTCCGGCGCTCCGTGGCAGCTCCGGCGCTGCGGGATGAGTATGTGCCTTGCTCTACACTAGCGGTAGGGAAGCGCAGGCACCTGAGCTCGCCTTCGCAGCTTCGGCTTTTTGGTCGCCTTCGGCGACCAGCCGTAGTATAGTAGCAGTATTGTAGTAAGAATTAGATAATACAGAAAGTTGCAAATAATGAAATAAAAGTACAAAAGCTGTACTAATTAAGAAATACAAACAAGTTGCAAGCAATGAAATACAAGTACTAAGGTGGAACTTAAATAGAGTAAACGTTATTCTACTTTATATACATATATAATTGCATTTATCAGCTCTTCCTATGCATCTAATTGGTTTGTCATAAATTTTCGTCTCCAAAATTAACGAAATGTAGTCGATACCAAGTAGTATTGATACTTTTGATACGATACTTGGTATCAAGTAGGTATCGATACTTTCAAAATATTCGGAACCCTACACTAACTGACGTTTGACATCAATCATTTGTCAAATTTATTTTGTAATTGCGTGTTATTTACCAATTTGTATGAAAAGTTTAAAAAAATATATCTCATGAACCGTAAGTTTCCGCAACCTAAAACTTTGCAAAACGCTTTCTTTTAGTGAGTACTATCTACAAAAAAAATATGGGCTTTGAAATCGATGGTCCATATTGGAAATATTAGCCTTCGCTTCTATAGTAATACCAAGTAAACAGTGGTATCCACAAGACTCAACTCTTCCCCATTTAAGAGCACATTTGTATTTAAATGTTTAACATTAGGTATTGTAAATTTAATACATTTTGTCATATTGCCATCTAAGAGCAAATTATTAGCGTTAAACCAATGTACTAATTTCGATAGAGCGTTATTTACGCTGTCAAAATTAATTGACTGTCGATTGAGTTTGAAAATTAAAGAGGTATCATAAGCAAATAATAATATATCCTGATTATCCCCATAAGATAAGGGAAGTCATTACTATAGAATAAGAACAGAAATGGGCCAAGAATCGAGCCCTGAGGAACGCCCATTGATACCAATGAATTGCCCTTTGCATGGCAAGCATTAACCGTATACCATTGTGGGGAAACTGCACAGAAATCCAAAATTATTTATATATATTATCGCTCAAAACAATGTATAAGAGTTCTAGCAAAAATTTCATACCATACAAGATTATTACCACTTACATCTTTATACATATTAGAATCATCTAAATTAGCATTGTCTAGTTGAAGATACTATGGGTACATACTAGAGATAATTTAAAACTAATTTTCTAAAATTAAAATGTAAATACATACAAACACAAAACACAGAACAAACATCTATGTTCATCACACGAATGTTTGTCCTTGGTGAGAATAAAACTCACAACCTTCAGCGCAGAAGCCATATTTAAGTAGTTTAAGGTTTTATTACGTGGTAGAGCAATAGCCCTCATTGCGTTTAGTTTATGCTATATTACGTTTATTTATTGAAATCTTTTATTGATATTATTAACTAATCCCAAGTTGAAATGAAAATTAATAGCTTAGTTGCCTTAATATCTGGTATTAATTCTATAACAAAACAACGAAAAAAAGTATGCGGTACTAAATCTGCCGTTCCCTTTAATAATTTTTTATAGGCAATACTAAGCCTTTACTTTACTATAATACTTAATGTATTGTTATATGCCTGAAATGTATTTATTTTAACTTTTTGCTTATTAGTGTATTTTTAATTGTTTCAAATATTACTTCTAAAATAATTTTAGCGGGCTTTATATAGGAATTAATTCTTATTAATAATAATGGGCAATCACAGTATGTAAATAGTGTTTTTCGATTTGAACAATATGAAAATTTATAAACAATCATGTACTTTTATTTATTATTTTGGAACAAAATCATTACAATAATCAAAATAATTAATTGTAAACATTTATATAATTGCATTTTTAACGACATCGAAAAAATCAAATTTCGATTTTTAAGTGTCTTAATTCGATTTAAAGTATCGTCCATTTATTATCCATTTTTTAAGATCGCTTAAATTTATTGTTTATCCCCTAAAACCCCTTGTTCAGTCATCTGCAGATGATCTGTTCAGAAAATTACTAATTTTTCTAATTCCAAGCAAAGTACGGTCACACAGGAACTATAAAATTATACACTCATCATACAGATACAGCTTGCAAAGATGATTAGACAAATAAAGAATGAAATAGTAAGTTTTGCCGTCGCTATTACGCTATGTTGACGCACATTGTCCTCGAGCGAGTTTTTGGTTGTTGTTCCGCCGTTCTTCATGCTACATCGCCGCGGTCTCTGTGTCACGCGAGGGTGAAATTGTAAAATTTTTTTGGCTCAATAACAACTCTTAATCCGCCATTATTAATAATACATAAACTTTTAATTATATTAATTGTCTATTTTATAGGTGGAGTTTTGGTGTCTTCCGTAAAGGATATAAGCAAGGCCTTACAATAAAAGACCTGTTTCAAGCGCGTAATGACGATCACTCAGGGCGACTCGGCGATCGTTTGGAAGAGGCGTGGCAAAAAGAACTTGATAACGCTCGTCGCAAAAATGTAAAACCTTCACTTGTGAAAGCTATAATAAGGTCCTTTTGGCTTGAATATATGTTGTGTGGGTTTTTGACTGGAATAATGTTTATTATTTTATGGTGAGCCTGATTTAATTTTATTTTACTAAGAATAGATGTAGTTTGGGTAGCGTTTGATTGATGCTCATTCATTTAAAAAAACTTTTGTTATTTAAAAAGTGATTATAAGCTAATATTTTTGTGTAGGTTTCGTTGTTTATTTAAACACCTTAACATATTATAAAATTCAATAATCAATTTTGTGAAAAAAAAAATTCATTCTTATTTCAGGCCGTTAATTCCTTTCACGCTGGCATTATTTATTAGATATTTTTCCGATGAAAAGACTCCAGAAAATTATAGAAATGCTCATATTCATAACTTTCTTATGAATTTATTTAGTATTTCAACAGTCCTTATATTGAATCATGCACAATTAGCTCAAAGTTGCGTTGGTATGAGAGTAAGAATTGCTTGCTGCTCTTTACTGTATAGAAAGGTTAGTTCGTAGGCGTTCATAAAAAATCCGTTACACAATTTTAAATTTATTTTTGAGTACAGCACATTTTTTTTAATTGCAGATATTGAAACTCAGTTGTTCTGGTCTGGGTCAAACTGAACCGGGACAGGTGATAAATTTAATGTCAAACGATGTTAACCGCTTTGACATAGCAGCTCCATATTTGCACTATATATGGGTTACGCCGATCGTGGTACCACTAGTATCGTATCTCGTGTGGCAGCACGTTGGCCTAGCGACACTAGCAGCGCTTGCCGTCATATTTCTGCAGACTGTTGTTGTTCAAGGTATAATAATTTGAATTCGCTATCATATTACTCATCATTTAAATATAGATACGGGCTTTTTGCTTGATATGCAATAACAACTGTACTCAGCACAAAATAACTCTAGCAAGCCTTTAAGGCGAGATAGCGATGCCTTCTTTGGGTCTTAATGGCTGGTCTACATCGTATAAAGTAATGTTGTATTTAATGTACGTCGACCGTGACCAATAAAGTAAAACCGACCAATAAAGTCGTAATCTAGTAGTTACATGGCATATTATATACATATACAATATGCCGTATGATTAGAGACTAGAAATAGACCTTTTATTTTGGGGACTATCCTAGGGTGGGTGTCGGGCCGTAGTAGTGAAATATGAAAAAATTAAAATAAATAGTTATTTAAACCTCAATAAATTTTCACAGTCCGTACGGATAAATTGGGATTAGAAATGGCGATTCGTCGAGCCCGTACCGTCAACATGAACTCTAGCTTCGCTTGGGTGGAATCTATTAATGTTGCTTTATTTACCTTTTTGGGTTGAATTTAGAATCGTTTGGCAGGAATTCGGGGGAATAAGGTGTTTTATTTGTTATAGGTTTGGTCCCCAATTATAATAATACCACTCACATTAAAAGATAACGCACCGTTTTCGAAAAAAAATAATATAACCTAAAATGCGTAAAGTATGGAAAATTATACATTTTTTATTATTAAACTGACTTTACGGCTCTGAGTTCTAGTCCTGCTGAGAAAAAATTATATGATATTACTGTGACAGCTGGATAGCACACAGAATTTTGTGTATGTGGACGTAGGACTAGTGTCACATTATTCTACTCACCCACACTCAAAGAATTGAGTCTCAGTGGCGTATCGTCAAAAGATATTTCCGTAAAGACAACTATAATAATAAAGAAAATTTTACCGACTTAATTATGAATATTTATGGAGAAGAGAAATTATAAAGAATAAAAGAGATCCTTTTGAGGAATAATAAATTATGTTTACAAACAATAAAGAAATGATTATAATATACTGTGTTTTATTTCTGAATTGTTTAAAACTGTCTGGGCAGTTAATTAATTTAATACTTAAACACCCAGCAATACTTTCAGTTGTAATAGGTTAGATGGTTGTGGCGGGAGCAAAGGCAACCTGTCTTTATAGATCTTATCCAATCTGTACTAAAATTAAATTAGCACGCCACGAATCCACGTAGTCTTGTCTGCGGAGGGAGAGCAGTCCCACCCGTCGTAGCAAATCACAGACACCTGTGCGAGTCGTAGTGTGCTTATATATTACATTATATATTACGTTCATAACTTAAAGTAATTATAAAAGCTAATACTTTGGTGTTTTGTTAAGTGCAAGAGCGAGCGAAGCGAGCTCGGGACTTAGGGCACCCCGACTCGGACAGGTTAGGTTAGAAGGGGATGGTGGTGTCGAGTGAGCGAGCGAAGCGAGCGAATAGACCCCGCCATCCCCTTTGTGGTTATTTTTTTGTAAACCACTCAGAAGTAGGAACCCCGCGAAGCGGGGCTCCGTCGACCGGGCTTCTCTCAACTACGCTACGTGGTGCTTCCCTCCCCCAACTCTCTCCCCCCATAAATCAGCTTTATAGTCAAAAACATTACAAAATCATAACCTCAAAATTAGATTTTTAAACATTTATAAAAAAAACTAAGCATGTCCGGCATGAGGTGGAAATGGGGGGCGACTCTACAACTACCTTCCCTACCACCTCCAACCCCTAAATTCACTTTGAGTTCTCATTTTGAGGTGAATTCTATGGGATTTCCTTTTGGGATTTCCTTGATTATTCCCAAAAACTGTGCATTCCCTTTTAATGTGAGTGGTATTATTATAATCGGGGACCAAACCTCTACCAAATAAAACACCTTACTCCCCCAAATTTCTGCCAAACGATTCGAAATTTCAACCACCTTTTTTTATTTCATCAACATTTCTATTTAATAAAATCTCGAAATTTCGTGATAAAATTTAGTGTAGATCATTCTTGGTATTGCTCTCCATTTGTTTGTAAAGTTGTATTACAATCGGTTCAACCTTTCCAAAAATTAGTTTACACAAACAGAAACGAAATATTAAATATAGTTACTCATTCTCAATAGCGTGTATATTTTTTACAAAAGTATTAACAAATAAAATAAACAATAATTATGATGAAAATTATCAAAAACGCTTCTAGCTCACTTTGCGAAACCAGGCTGATTTTTTTGTAGTTTATGGCATTTTGTTATCATTGATTTCAATGACAAGTTGCAAAACACATATCGCAAGGAGTTTTTTTATGTAGTCTTTACCGGCGCGTGTGAATATAGATAGCGACAGTGTGCGAGCGAGAGGTAAATGGAGGTAAAGCCATTAGCGTATGGGTAGTACTTGTTATTTTGAAAGGGTAACGAAAAATGCAAGTTATTTTCAAATATAATTACTCTTATTTGATTTAAAACTACCTACCTATTTACTACGTATTTTGTATTTTTGTAATAATATAAAAACAACCAAAATTGAGCAAATCGCTTTACTTATTGTTAAATTTAAACTTTGGTAGACAGTCAACATACATTTTTATCATTCGTAAAAACTTTAAAAAGATAAAAGGAGCTCTGTTGCTTATTAATTAAGTTAAACTTTGGTAATTAATAGAATCGGGTGTTACTTTGTATAAATCCAAAGATAAGTTTGGTAAAAATTACTTTGCTTATTTACTTAGGTAATAAACGATACGGGTTTCGTCGTATAATCGTCGGTAGAGTGTCTTTCCTAGTGTAGTGGTGTTGGGAGCAGTGGTATCTACTGGTATTAGTGGTTATGGGGATAGTGGCATAGGGGATAGTGGGAGGTGCGCTTCAAGCTAGATAACACATAATTTTATTTCATTACGCGGATATAAGCAGAGTAATTTTTACCAATTTTAATAAACTTTAGTAAGTAATCAACGCCAGTTAATATGAAACATAAATAAACTTATAATGAAAATTGAACATCTCCTAATGACTGTTTCATTAAGTATACTTTGGTACGATATCTTGTAACAAAAATAAAAATCTCCTCGCCTCTCTTTGGATTATAAATCTCTTAACAGATATTTTTTTTAGAATATTTATTACCGGATTTTGTCATTTTTATTAGTTTTTCTCCGTCAGGGCTTCACAAAACCGATAAAATTACTGGCAACTCTAGTTATACTTTTAACTTTGTGGGAAAAAATTAGTAGATGTTCGGAATCTGGGCAGGAAAGTCTAATTACTGGACTCGAGACAAAACATAAAGTTCTGGGACATTACCAGATTTCCCGACCCTTTGGAAAGCCTAGACATGACGTAGTTACTTCAAATACACTTTAAAACTTCCATGCGATATTCAAACTGTTATAATCCTCGAGCGATTTCGGCGACGGCGCCCTCTTCAACTCCGATCCTGTCGTTTGTGTACTTGTACATGGCTAACGTAGCCGATCCTATTTACAAATGTTCGCTCTCAATGCAGAGCACAGCACAAACTGTATTTGCATAAATAATATGTATTTGTTTTTCCTCATACTTTAATAATTAACATAATCAAAATTCTTAAACTAATTATATACTCTTATAATGAATGATTTCTTAAGTCCAATGCTGGAATTCGGACGTTGTAAGGAAGTTAAGTCATGCTTGGCAAACGGACTGACCAGATAGGCAGGCGACAGGGACTGGTCTGAGCAAAACGTGTAATGTACGTTTTGAAGCCGTAGATTAGATACATTTTAGGAACACTTCAAGGGAATTTATGGAATCAGGCGCTACTTTCTTGAAATCCATTATATTGAAGAGAGATCTGCGAGTATAGTAAACAGTCTAGGGGTGAGGGTGGGGGGGTTTGAAAAAGACAACGTTTAAAGTAGACATGGAACGAGTAATGATTCGCCGACTACTCGAACACCGAGTACTCGGCCGAATACTCGGCTTAAAAAACCCGATTGTGGGCGGCGCGTGGCTATTTCCAGAGTTAGGAATGAAACGATACGAGTAAATACAAGTGCTTACTCGATACTTTTCTTTCGATACCAATTTATTCCCCTCTTTTGCTGTACGCATTAAAAAAGTCGAAGTAAACCATTTGGTTCTAATGCGTAGAATATCAACAACAAAGGGAAACAGTTGCGGGATATTAATGATTCCAGAGCAAAGATGCACCGTTATTTAATCAGTGAAATAATTGCCGTGTATAACGAGCCATTTTCTATCGTGGAATATAATTAAGGACGAGTACCAAGTACTCAGCCTTAATTATGTTCCAGAGAAAAATAAAGATTATTATAATAGACACATTAAAACATCAGGAACATAAGAAACAGCAGAATTGAAAATGTACATAAGAATTTATACTAGACATTATTATTACTAATATTTAAAATTTAAGAGAGGATTTAGTTTTTTGGCCCTATTTGGATCTAGTTTGCTCCTTTTTGCTTCATATACTAAGCCCGCCTCTGAAAAAAGCTGTTCAGTGTTAACTGAACTGGCGGGTGTTGGTAAGTATTTAGCCGCAACTTTTCCAAAGATAAGGTAATGGTCTTTTTTTAAAAATCTACCATTAATATGGATTTGCATCTCTTGTGGCCGCTTATGCTTAAGTAATGATCTAACTCTGCTGCAGAGTAATTTTTAAGATCATCAAAATATTCCCAGAATAGATTATGAGCTTCAGAAGCAGAATGGTCTCTATCTATCATTCTATCTCTTTTTTCTGCTGGCTCTGCGTCATTGACAAGTTCATCATTTTCTGTGTCTAGAGATATTTTTAGAGCTTCTTTTAAGGCTGTCCGCCTTGCGAGCTTGAACTACTTGATAAGCAAAGTTAATTTTGTAGCGTGGGTCCAAAAAGGTCGAAAGGTGATACGTTCTTTTTTCAAACAAACATTCAAGATTGAAACGTGTTACTTTGTTCATATTGTTTACGAAGGCATTTCTAAAATCATCAACTTCATACGTTTTCTCAATTGATTCTTCTTTTCGTAAGTATCTCATCAATGTGACCACATGAGGAATCACATCGGAAACAGGAGAATACGTGCTTACTAGTTATTTTCGTCACTTCTTCAAAAGGTTTCATCCAGTTGTCACTGTGTGGGCTGATAAGCTTGGCAAGCATCAAGCATCAAAAAAATATATGAAGCTCATAAATTGACATTTGACATGTTACACACAATATAAGCAGTGCTTTTCGCGTATTATATTATGATTGATAAATTCGATAAACATACTTCAGTGGTAAAGTATGGTTGTAATGAAGTGTGCCCATATTTTTCGGTTGGTTTCAATGGAAAAATAAAATGAGTTTGTTGTTTTAATAATCTTTTTCATAATTTAGATATAATAGTGCGGTAATCTTGTTCTTTATGAAAAGAGACAACATTCTTTTGTAGAACTACAGACTTCTAAGTCGTGTCTATGTGCTGTTTTCGAGAGTTATTATGAATCATCTTGCACGCAGACTTGATTGACTTCCAGCCTCCCGAATAAGGCAGTTTTCAAAAACGCTTTAGCAAATTATACTTATAGTAGAAGATCCTTATCAGCCACTTTATTTTACGTATGTAGACTATGATAAAGCCTTTGATTCCATCGGGCTATATAACCGACTAATAAATCTAACTTTGACCGAGAGGTCACTCGACAGATCTAACTCAACTGGGCACAGTTCGGGGTACACGACACATCTTTGCATCAGTTACATCTACCGCTTAACTTGAAAAAGCGTGCAACCAGTGCGTGTTTTCAGTGATGACATGTGAATCTGAGACATTGTACTTTTCTGCAATGAGGAAGGTCAACGACTCTCAGTGATATGGAGAGAAAACTAGAAATGAGAATATTCTCAGTCAACCAGAATAATGGACATATTCCAACAGATCAGTAAGATGCAGTTGCAATAGGCCGGCTCAAAGAACCAAATACTGATGGGGAAGAGAGGTTCTCGAGTGAAAGCCTCGTCTCTGTAAGCGAAGTCTAGGGCAGCCCACAATTGATATAATGATGATCTAGTAAATTATCCAGAAAATCTATGAAATCAGGTGTCCCAAGATGGTGCTTCATAGCATTCCTTGGAGGAGGCCTGCAGGGTATATTCATAGTGTATTTGTATAATATATGAAATTCTTTACCTGGAGTCTTTAGTTTAAAACTTATATTTAAAATAATATCTTAATAATAATATTAATATTTTCAGCATACTTAAGTAACCTTCAAGGCAAATTCAGAGGCAAGATTGCTAAACGGACTGATGAAAGAGTTAAAGTGATGAGCGAACTCGTGGATGGAGTCCAAGTCATTAAGATGTACGCTTGGGAGAAACCCTTTGAGAAGTTGGTGGATAAACTAAGAAGGTATGTGCAGTCTGAATATAAATTCTTTTAAGACATACAATATAGTTGAATAAGATAAAAATCTTTCGATAAGATTTTATTGTAAAGGTATTTATTATTTATGTATTTATTTTTTTAATCTTTATTGTTTTACACCCTAGTCTAAGGGTTACAATGGGCAGACTTAGTGCCTTATTGCATTCTCTACCTGTCAACCCTGGGAGAATTCTACATGTAATAGTTGGCTAAAAATATTAAAATGAATAGACATATATTGTAAATAAATATACATGCATACATACTAATATACATATAGAAAATAAAATAATAAATAAATTATGAATATAGGTATATAAACACAAATACACACACACACACATATATATATATATATATATATATATATATATATATATTATATTATAAACATATAAAAAGATAGAAATAAAATTGTCAAATGGAGTTTTCCTTAAGGTAGTGTTGCCAGACTGGTTTTTTAAACGTGTACTTATTCGATGCACGGGCAAGGCATTCCAGAGAAGTATTGCCTGAACTGTAATAGAAGACTTAAAGAAAACAGTACTATGCTGAGGTAAATCAATCTTAAGGACGTTAGAGAAACGAGGTTCACGGTCGATAGTTGAACACCGAACGTTAAAGTTATCTTTAAGATAAGAAGGAGACGTCGGATCATTCAATATAGAGAAAAGAGTTGGTAAGATTCTGGAGCAACGCCTCTGATGAATAAAAAGCCATTTAAGCTTGGTTTCGTAAGTTGAAGATGAATCTTATACAGTTGTTGAGAAGGCGCTCCAACTTGTTAAGAAGATTTTGCAAGAGGTCTGAATAACACACACATCTGTATGACCTTCCACTTCCAGTGCCTCATGCACTCCACCAAGGCTCCCTTCAGCGTCACGTGGTGCCCGAGCCTCACAGCAGCCCTGACTTCCAGGTCGTGGATGTCGTCGATGAATGTCTGCACCAGGTTCATTTCAATGAGCGTAAGTACAGACCGGTAAGCCTTTCGAATCATCTTCCCCACCTCAAGGGCCCACTGGTGCAGGTTTAAGCTGCATAAGAAAGACGTTTTCCAGGTGAGCGTCGCCATATCTCGCCTCCAATGCCTCAATGAGCTGCTCGTAAGTCACTTTCTTACCGAGAGCTTCCAAAACAGTTAAGGCTTGTTCGCGCTGGCTTAGGGTGAGTGCAGTCATGGCCTGACTTTTATTGCAGCTGTTCGCCTCCATGACAGCCTCGAACTGGATTTTGTAGGTCGACCGGGAAGAAGTCCCTCGAACGGCGGCACTTTGAATCCACGAAGCGAAGGTGTTGTAGCTACTACGGGACCTGTAATTTCATCCCCAAGTTTGAGGTCATCCAGCGTTTTCTTCACGTCAGCCATCATGTTGTCAACTCGATTGTTCACTTGGCCGATACGGGTTTCAGCTTCCGATAGGCGGTTGTCATGTTGAGCAACCCTATCCTTCACCTCCCTTATCTCTTTCCCTAAGGTGTGTTGTCAACTCGATTGTTCACTTGGCCGATACGGGTTTCAGCTTCCGATAGGCGGTTGTCATGTTGAGCAACCCTATCCTTCACCTCCCTTATCTCTTTCCCTAAGGTGGCGTGAAGTTCCTTCATGAGGAGTATCTGCCCTTCCAACTAACCTGTTCCTGTGCCTTTTCATCCTGTCGGCGGGCCTGTTCCTCCTGTCGCTGAGCCTGCTCCGGCAGCTTCACCATCAGAGCACCTAAGACGCCGCAGACGTCGAAGGGTCAGCCTCCGTAACCGCCGGCTGGCCCTCCGATGTCTGTAGCGTTGCACTACCAAAGCGTCTCCGGTGCGTCTTCTGCTGGCGTTGACTTCGCGCACGGACACCCTTCGTGTTTCCTTAGGTAAAATTGGCATGATTTTATCCCACTTCTGACACCAATGGTTACGAGCTTAAGGATTCGTGACAATAAATACTGCCGATGGAATTACCAATATTGACACTTTAATTACTGACAACAATTAAAACTTAAAACACACTAATAATTAATCACACTCAACACTTTAGTTCACTATATTTTGCTCCGAAGTATTCGTTTGTGTCGCCAATTCAATACTGTCCCGGTCGCTGTCCTTAACGCCTTTATATGGGACCCTTTTCCACTGAAACATCCCGAATTCGAGCACATACCGCTCCCAACCGCTTAAGTGTAGAAAGTTCTCTCCTAGTTCTGCCACTTGATACCAGATGGCACTGGAAGTGGAAAGTTCTAGCATGGCATTTTCTAGAAAGCTCTCTTGACGCCTGCTACTCGATACTAGATGGCGCTAGTGGCATTTACCGGCATCAACTATGGCGCGCAAAATTAGTAAGCCTACTAGTTATAGAGTGATATATATTTAAATTTTGTTTTTCGTCACCCCCTATACCTACGGATGACATATTCAGATTTCCTCAAAAACAAATTTAGCTGTCTTTTGTCGCCATTAAAAAGTGGAATAAGCCGTAGCATTTCTGTAGGAATGGGATTAATTACAAAGGTTTATCGTTCTGCTGCCAGTGATTGTTCCATTGTTATAGAGTAATGCACTGAGTCAGCGGAGTGTTGTTAATATAGCGCACTATTTAATGCAATAACACAACATTAAGGTAGAACACACCAAAGCATATAAAAGTATGATTTATAAAATAAATTTTGTAAAATATGTAAACATAATTAAAAATGAAAATAAATGAAATAAATCTATATTATGTCTCTAACATTAATGAAACATTTATTAATTAATTATCAAGTAAATTTTAATTAGATTTAATTTATTACTTTTTTATAAGTGTTATATTTTTTAAACGTTTAATAATCTCTATGCGAAAGGCACTCTGCGTCCCTTATTCTTATCAGTGTTATGTAATGTCTATAGTAATAGAGTGTTTATTACTAAATAGCTTTAATTAAAAACCAGATACGTTATAATGGGTGCGTTTGGCAGAAAAAAGCGCTAGCAAGCGCTTATAAGCGCTAAAATAGTTTTCGGCCAGGACACGATTGCTACTTCAGTAGCGCTGACACAATCCGCCATTTTGCTTATTTAATTTGTTTGTTTTGAAGTAGAGTTTATAAGTTGTTTTGTGCAATATTAGTTTTAAGTAATATAATGACATGAATAAACATATACATGCTATTAAAAACTCATGATTGGTAAGTTTTTAATATGAATACTTTACAAACATATATTTAAATTAGGTTAGATTCCCCGGTTAAAACTAACATCGTGTCCTGGAGGAAAATAGCTACTTACGATTTGACAGCGCTTACCGCTTACGATCGCCATTTTGCTTACAAGCGCTTGCTAACGCTTTTTTCTGCCGAACGCACCCAATGTCTTATCTCAATAATAACAAATTTAAGTAAAAATGAAGGATAACAGTGGTATCAAGGATGGTGAAAAGTTTTACACACCAACCAGCCGCTATTCCCATGCCTTCCGCTTCCGCCTCCCGTGATGACAAATTTATTTGATTGTTGGATTTGCCCAATAGCTATTCGCACTGCTATCACGAACCCAGGCGAATTTGGACATTTGAATATTTCGAGAGTCTTCGGATTTCTTCAAACTTCGGGAACGTCGAATGGAGTTTACACAAACCAAAATACAATTAGATTACTACGTCTCACCGATTTGGAGGTGGTAAAGAATGATATTCAAAGAGCCCGTTCGTGCGCAAACATTCGAGTCATCAACTAAGTACTAGGATCTTATATAAAATGCTGATGTGTTAATTTTATTGCTTTGTATAATTAATACAATATTATATATTTTAATATTTTAGCCTAAAACAGAGGCATAGGGTGTATCCATAACTAACCCGTCTGCGGACCCGCTGTGTCCCGTCCGTTGTCCTATCAGTGTTTGTAGCACTAGATGATTGTGTAGTGTCTATGTGTGATGGGCCGGCGACATTTGTGTCGTCGGAATTTAGCGAAACAGGGAGTTCAGTCAAAACGTTGCGTGGCCTCCGGAGGCTTTGCTTAACGTTTCGTGTCGGAGCGTAGGTTGTTGCGTTTACTACTAGCAACTTCGAGAGCGCAGAGACATATCCCAACCCAGGATGTGTCTCTGCGCTCTCGAAGTAGCGCCGAGACATGTCCTTGAAGTATTCAGAGATCGTTGGAAGTTGACAATCTCTGTGGAAATCAGTGTTACGTTGGTACCACCGTGCTCCGGTGGCAATGTGTATGAATCTGTTTTGGACGACTTGTAGGTCGTTGAAACGTTCATGAGTCGCGTGTGCAAAGGCTACGCTTGCGTAGGGCATGATAGGTCTTACGCAAGCTTTGTAGAGGTGGAGCTTGTGTCTTAGGGACAATTTGCTCTTACTGTTAACTAGCGGGTGGAATCGACTAGTAACGAATTTGGCACGATTTCGGACAGCGCGAATGTGTTTCGAGAAGGTCATGGAGTGGTTGAATGTGACCCCCAGGTATTTGACAGTTTGTTGGCATGGGGTCTGACGGCCGAATACGGTTATCGTGTCTAGGACATTTTTCGGTTTTAGGTTCCGACAATTGAGGGTGGGTTTCCTTTGAAAGTATATTGCTATACTTTTTTAGGATTCATTTCAATTCTTCGTAAACGATACCATTCGCCTAGGCGATTGGCGGAAAATGCCTACTAGAGGGCAGATAAGTGCCGCTGAGAAGGATTTCAGCACCCTTTTACTAATGCCGTCGGCGCCGGGTGCTGATTCCTTTTGGAGGTTTTTGATGGATTCTGTGACTTCGTCAACAGTCACAGGATCTAAAGGGGGGCCAGCAGGTGGTAGCGCAGACCTACGCTCTACTTCCGCTTCGACCGCTGCACGGTGAGCGGGATCTATGGGTTCGCTAGAAGGAGTGCATTAGCTCTCTAAACTGTCCGCGAGGCATTCGGCCTTTTCAGAGTCGTCAAAGGCGATATTGGGGTTTCCTGGTCTAATGAGAGATGGCATAGTTGAGGATTGTTTTGTTTTCAGAGCTGGGGTCATATGC